TTTTCATTAGAAAGTCCATCATATCTAAAATAGCACTGCATTCTTCTGTCATTCTATTATTTTAGACCTCAGTTTTCCTTCACAGGAGTTATCACCAGCTGACATACACATATGTGTATGCTTTCTTATTTTTAGACTTTTGTTCTCCAAAATAAAATATATTCTTTGAGAACTTGGGCTTTGTTTTTTAATCTACTCTTGTTAACTCTGTTCCTACAGGAATGTGTGGCACATAATAAGGCCTAAATAAATATTTAATTATTATTAAAATAGGGATGTTGGGAGGAGCAAGTATTGACAAAAAAGGATGAGTTCCATTTTAGACATGCTAAATATGTATAGGGAGTAATACAGGTGAGTGATTGAATTAGGTCATGAATCAGCAAACATTTTCTATAAATATTAAATATTTTATGCTTTGCAAGCCTTGTGGTCCCTATAACAACCACTGAACTCTAATGTTGAAGTGAAGAAAGTATCCAAGGTCAATACATAAATGAAAGTGGCAATGTTTCAATAAATGGTTTTTTTTTTTTGAGACAGAGTCTGACTTTGTTCCCCAGGCTAGAGTGAGTGCAGTGGCATCAGCCTAGCTCACAGCAACCTCAAACTCCTGGGCTCAAACGATCCTGCTGCCTCAGCCTCCCGAGTAGCTGGGGCTACAGGCATGCGCCACCATGCCCCGCTAATTTTTTTTCTAGATATGTTAGTTGGCCAATTAATTTCTTTCTGTTTATAGTAGAGACAGGGTCTCGCTCTTGCTCAGGCTGGTTTTGAACTCCTGACCTAGAGCAATCCGCCCACCTCGGCCTCTCAGAGAGCTAGGATTACAGGCGTGAGCCACTGCACCCGGCCTGAAATAGTTCTATGTCCTAGGGAACTCTGGAGTTCTAGTCAAGAAAAGTGGGAGAGCCACATCTTCCAATATGAAACAAGTCCACACATTTCCAGGTTCAGTAATCACAACATTAAAATTACTGTTTACTGTAGAACTCAAAGAGAAAGACAAGTAAATCCTGTGCCCCATCTAAAGAAGTTTTCAGATATGAAAATTGCTAAATAAAATTTACAGCAGGCCATTGTTTTGGACTAAATTGTACTAGGTCCAACCAACCAGATCAAACCAGAATGGAGTCACTTGTGCTAGGTGCTACATAATCAAACTGAACTTTAAATGGGCTAGTTTTCCAAAAAACAGGAGACTCACAACAACTGACAAAAAGGGGCCCAGTCTACCTAAGTCAGCATGATAAGGGAGTCCTCACTGCTTTAGTCCTATAAGGAAAGTAACTTTGAAAGAACCAATCTGTTTTTTTCCCCATGTTCAGCCATTTACTGGGACTATAAAGCCAACCCTCTCTGCTTAGCTCTGTGGAGTGCCCATTTGTTTTATATATGGGATGCTTCCTGATTCATTAATCGCTTTTAAATAAAATCATAGCAAAAAGAAATTGCTAATTCAAGGAAGGGTTAAATAAGGTAAATTGGAAAGATTTTTTGCTTATAGGTTAGAACTGATTTCTAGTTCTGTCTCTGTCATTAAATAATAGTGTGTCTCTGGATCCTTATATAAAATTTTTCTTGTTCTTCTTATGGCAGTTTGGTATTTGCAGTGGTTCTGAAGTTCACAAATACCATTACTTGGATTCACTTCTTCACTCTTCGTTTCCTTGACCATCACTAACTGTTAACCTTTTTTGTTACATTTTGTTAACTTTACAAACATTGGTTCATGTTAGGATAAGTAGAAACCACAAAATGTGATTTAGGAGAAATTCATAGATGTTTTGAGCTGTGGATGCATTTTTTTCTTCAAGTTCATTCACCAACTAAGTGCTTTTCTCTGCATAGAAGCTTTGAAGTACATATGATTAAATTTGTGCCTTGGTAAAATAATGTGTTGTTATGTGTCATGGCATTTGAGAGTCACTTAAAAGTGGTTAAAATATTTTAAATTAGGAGTATCAAGAGTCTACTTGTCATTGGTTTCTCTGATAGATATTTGACAATGCTTCTAGGCATTGAGAAAAAAGGGGCTGTGAGACCTTTTAATATTTCTAGCAGAGAGTTTAGTTCTTTATCTGATCTCTTCTTCTCATTTATTCAAACAGTATTTATTGATTACTTACTATGTCCCAGGTATTGTGTGGCTGAGTACCCTAGACATGATTGTATCCCTCTTAGAGCTTTCTGTCCATGGAAATTGCTTTTTGTACATAGTAAGGTTTCAGTTATAATACAGGTGGTTCCTCATGACCATGCTTTTGAAATGCTAGTAATATTTACTAAACTTTAGTAATTTGTGAAATTTACTTACATAGGAGAGAAGAGAATGTTAAAACAAACACTTAAAAAATTATATTCCCAAAATATCAAGACTAGGTAAAAATGTAAAAACTAAACTTGCGTCTCACCATAAATACTTAATAATATAGTTATAATTTTGGTTAAATGGATACTGGATGTTTACATAATTGTGACCATATCAACATTGCTCTTTGTTGGCTATTTCTATGTACTTGGCACTGATTGAATTGGAGACTCCACAAACTATGTGAAATCCTTTCAGTGTGTTCAGGTGTGTATATTAGATATCCTGTCAATTCTCTCTTCTTTGTGAAATATTTCCTGGGGCTTGGCCCTCCACTTGTCTTTTGATCTTTTACTATCATCCTGATGATTTCCTTGCCTCTCTGTCTTTTGTTGGATTCTTTTCTGAATTCTGAATTCATAATTCTCTTGTATTGGTGGCATACATCCTCCATCAGTTTCTTTAAAAAGGACTGCTTGGTAGGACATTTTTTGATGGCTTGTTTATCTGCAAATATCTTTATTCTACAGTCAAACTTGACCCTGCCCTGGATATAGAATTCTAGATTAGAGATTAGAAATGATTTTCCTCACAATTTTGAAAGCATTGAGTAGTGTCTTCCAGGTTCTGGTGTTGCTTTTGAAAGTTCAGAAGCCATTCTGGGTTTTGATGTTTTATGTGAAAGAAACTTGTGGGGTCTTTTCTTGCATCTATACTTAGAAATTTCACGATGACATTCCTGGAAGTGCATTGTGATTTTCATCCGTTGAGGTTTGCTCTTGAGGAGTTGCTTTTCAGTTTGGAAATTTGTGAGTTTTAGTTCTGAAAAATTTTCTTTAATTCTTTCTAAGATTCCCTCTTCCGTGTACTTTTTCCCTTTTCTAAAACTTAGTCTTGTGATATTGAACGGTATTGGTCCATTTTTCCCTTTTCTCACCTACATTTTTTTGTTCTAATTTCTGGGAAAATCTCAACTATGTTTTCTAAACTTAGTGCATTTTTCATTTCTGCTATCATAGTTTAATTTCCTAATTTTTTTTGTTGTTGATGTTCTCCAGATGGTTGTATTTTGATAGAGTCCTTTTTTTTTTATTTTTTTTTTGTCTTTTTGTTATGGTATTTTTCTCAAGCATATTTTTTGGATTGATTTTCTTCTGTATTTAGAGTTGTTGTTTTCTTTCAGTCACTTTTTTCTGTATGTGTTTATCTTTTTACATTTACTGTTTTCCTCACATGAAATGTCTGACAGTTCTTTCTAACTACTCATATTTAATAGGGTGACCACTACAAAAGCAAATTGGGAACTCTGACTATGTGGGTAGAGTTTGTTGATTATAGTCATTCATATATGTATATCTGGAGATCAGATCATTTCCTTGGGGGAATACCGAATGTCTATGTATTTTAGGCCTTTTATCTTAAACTGGTCAGATTTTCCAGAGAAATGTGCTGGTGCTTTTGCCTGGCTTTCAGAGTTATGCCATTTGAGGAAAGACTGGAGATGGAGGGAGGGACTAGTCTTAGACATATTTCATAATATCAGCTTTCACTTAATACTCTTGTTTCAGTAGTATTCTCTGCCCTAAATGTGCTTTAATATGATTCCTGACTCAGAGACCTTGTGATAACCTTGTCTAGGGAATAAGCCTTTTCTACCAAAATGGGAGATAAAGCAGTTGCTAGGCTGGAGTCAGATCTGTGAGTCCAGCTGCTGCTTAAGCAAATGATAGTCAGTTTTCCTATTGGTCCTACTTTACTAAACCTCAACCAATTTTTGAAGCATTGGGGGCTTCTCTGTTGTAAATTGGAGTATTTATCAGCTTTCCCCAATTTTTGCATTTAGGTCAAGCATCATTTATTTCACTAAGTCAGCTATCACTACTGTTACTGCTATTTTAATGTTGATTCTGCTCATTTTTCCAATCTGTTGAAATCTTGGAATCCTCCTCATCCAACATGTTAATTAATGATTCTTCTTAAATTTGAGTCCTACATTCATTTCACAATCTGACTTTTGTATCATCTTAATATCTTGACTAAAGTATAAGGATAGAGCCCTCTGGAATATATTTGAAGATATTCTTTAGTTCTTGTTGAATGTTGTAAGTTATGGTTGTTTATCCACCTATGAGTACTAGTTTTGCTGTTTTATTTAATTACCTTATATTTTATCATTTTACTCCTAAAAATATTTTTGGGATCTTTTCCCACAATATCATGCTTTCCAAAAAGTCTAGTGTTGTATTATTTATACAAGCTTACCTAAAAAGAAGAAATACATTGACAGTGAAAAAAATCAGCATCACTTGTAGTGAAATAAAATTGCCTCCTGGTGTAACTTTTTCTTTTTTAATGCCTTCAAGACATCTTGCAAACATAGTGTTTGGACTTTTGATATGGATAGATATTGATGGATTAAGAACATTTTATACTTGAATTTCTGTGTTTCTTTGATACATATTTTCTAGAAAACATTTTTCTTCATTTTCAAAATCAGTTCATATTAGGAATTGTTTCCTTTTCAATGTTTTATACACATGGGAGATGCATGCCTATTTCAGCTGAGCTTGTGATGATTTAGGCTCTATAGAAAAACGAATTTAAAAAGTGGCTAGGTATTCTCTTACTGTCTTCTTTCCTTATTTCAATTTCATTTACTTTTTAACTATGTTTCTTCTACCTTTTCCAGTTTTCTGCTCAATTCTCCTTGGTGGAGAAGATGGATACAAAACAGCAGGTGTGAGTAGTTCTTTATTCTCTCTGCATCTATTAATATTACATCATCTTTCCCGTGTAATATTCTTGTTTCTTCTTAGCATATCCTCTTACATTTATGCAGCAAATGAGCCTGTTTGTTTTTCCTTTATATTATTTATAACATTTAGAATTGGGAGAATCACTTGAGGCTAGGAGTTCTAGACTAGCTGGGTAACATAAAGAGACCTTATCTCTACAAAAAAATAAAAAGATAAGCTGGGTGTGGTGATACACACCTGTAGTTCCAGCTATTCAGAAGGGTGAGGCAAGGAGAATCAATCTATGAGCATAGGAGTTGGAGGCTGCAGTCAGCTATGATCATACCAGTGCACTCTAGCCTGGATGACAGATTGAGACCCTCTCTCTAAAGGGGGAAAAAAAGGTTCATTGTGGCAATATTTTATAAGATTTATGATATTAATTTTTATGCATTTTTAGTTTATCTCCTTCCATATGTCCTTCCATATGTCCTTCCTTCTATATGTCCTTTTAAAATCTGACGTGAAACTGTGTAGCCACATTGTTTCACTCACTCATCCTCTTCATTTATTTAGCCTATTGACATTTATTATAATAAATTCTGAATATATGTCAGCCCTTGGGAAATCACATATTGATATTACTTTTTACTCTTAGAGTTTATACTTTCATAGGGAATATCTCCTCCCTTTTCTTAGAGTTAATCACGTTTATATAATCAAAAACTATTGCTTTTGTCCTGTCCATATTGTCAGGTAGTGCTTCCTTTTAAAGCTATATATGGTATTATAAAAGTAGATTCGGGTTTAAATTCTGACTCTGCCATCCATATGTTAACTATGTAACAGATAAATCACTTAATTTTTCTAGGTCTTAGTGTTCTCATTGATAAATCATATATAATCTCTATATGGTTTAATTGAGAGAACTGAAGTGTTAAAAAATGAGAGAACATACATGTATAAACTTGTTAAATTTAAAAAGTTATATGATGGTAGTAGTATTATGAGACTTGCTATCCAAATATTCTTTTTTTTCTTTCACTATTTAAGGAATTTTTATTAAACAAGAATTTTATAATCCAGCAATCCAAATATTTATTCTTGCAGTCCTTTTGTAATAGGTTGTAATTAACCTTGGGAGAAAAAAGTGTATCATGTTGATTCTTATTGCAGTTAGTATATAGCAAGGTCTCTTACTTTTTGGATGAATTTATTAACAAATGGATGTAGAACAAGTGTTAACATAGTTGATATTTCTTTGACCCCTGTGTACTTCCTCTGTGTCACTTTAAAATTTAATATTGGCCAGGCATAATGGCTCATGCCTGTAATTCTAATTCATTTTGGGAGGTGGCGGCAAGAGGATCACTTGAGGCCAGGAATTCAGGGTTACAGTGAGCTATATGATCACTCCGCTGCACTTCAGCCTTGGCAATAGGACTAGACGCTGTCTCTTAAAATAAAGAAAAAATGATTTAATGTTAAGAAAGCATCTTCCATATGGCCAATTTCTATTACATATTTGTAAGTATTATTTCTTCTGATTGTTACTCTTCTCTAATTACCATGTTATCACCCTTGAGTTACAGATTTTTAGATGTTTACCTCTCTGCTGCTCATTAACCTTTCTTTGTATCTGTTTTTGAAAAGATAAATCATACAGACATGTTACTATATTGCAATCACAAATTCCATTTTTCTTCTTTTTTCATATCAAGAGGTCATGTTTATATCTTCATGTTAAAATCTCAAATATATCTTAAAAGTTAATATGGAATTTAGACATTGGAATTTAAAAAGCCAAGATTAAAAATATTAGTGTGTATGCCTTTTCCCTCTCTCTTTTTGTTTTTCTTTCTTTCTCATGTTTTTAAGTGAGACTGACCAGTTTCTCCAGTGATTCTTTCTGAAATCAAATTTGCTGTTTTTCTGAATAACTGCATTCTATGTCCTTCCTCTTTTTCAGTCAGTGCAGTCTTGATCATGGTGACAAATCTCTGGTCAAACATTTTCTCTCTGTCTAGGCTTTATGAAGCACATGAATCTTTTAAGTTGGAAAAAAGGAAAAAAAAAACCCAACATTTATGGTGTTCACACTGTTTCTTTTATTTTTATTCATTTATTTATTTATTTTGAGACAGAATCTCACTCTATTGCCCAGGCTAGAGTGCCATGGCACCAGCCTAGCTCACAGCAACCTCACACTCCTGGGCTCAAGCGATCCTTCTGCCTCAGCCTCCCAAGTAGCTAGGACTACAGGCATGTGCGACCATGCCCAGCTAATTTTTTTTCTATATATTTTTAGTTGGCCAATTAATTTCTTTCTATTTTTTGGTAGAGACAGGGTTTTGCTCTTGCTCAGGCTGGTTTCGAACTCCTGAACTCCTGAACTCCTGAGCTCAAACTATCCTCCCACCTCAGCCTCCCAGAGTGTTAGGATTACAGACATGAGCCCTGCGCTTGGCCCACACAGTTTAAGTCCTTTTCTTACATTGTCATGTTTAATCCTTAAAACAACCCTTCAAGATATTAATATTACCTCTGTTTGACTAATTTGAAAACTGAGGCTCAAAAAAGTTTTATCATTCAAGGCTTACCGTTTTGGCTCTAAAGAATGCACTGCAACACATGACCTGGAAGGGTACTGATGTAGAACATTGAATATCTTTCCCAAAAATCATCTATTCATTGTTAGTCATGCTATGTTGATACTTTCTGGAATACACTTTTGAAGTTTATTTCTGAAGCTTTAAAGTTCTTACAGTTTGAATAAGTAATGTACATTTGAGTAGTAGGACAATTTATATAAGCCTGGGGCAATCTGTTTGGTTTCCTGATGACACATTTCCCACTCTCTAACACTTAACCTTTTTTCTTTGAAGAGTAAAACCAGGGTTCCAGAGAATGGTCTGTTCATCTCCCTTTCTCTTGACATTTTGGTTTCAAACATTGTTTCAATTCTGTTTTTAATCATTGCAGTAAAATTTTATATTATCCTTTTCCTTCTACATGGTAAGAATGAGTTTCCTGTGTTTTAGGAATAAGAATAAAATCACCATAGAGGAAGAGATAAGTGGTTGTAATGAGGTCAAAGGACTCTACAAAAACCAGTTCTTCAAGGTCTAGTCAACCAGCCTAAGAAATTTAGATTTTATTCTAGTCCCATGGGAAGCTAATAGAGAGTTTTTAAGTAAGCAGCATGATCTAACATGACCATATTTATTTGCCCCTGGGAGACTGTGTACACATGCTATTGTCAGGATGGAGATAGCCCTTTCTCCTCTGTTAACAGAAGGGGGAAAACTTTAATTTTAGGAAATAGTAATTTAAGTAATGTTTGCAAAATTCATACCTAATTACCAATTTAAGCCAGTTATGTCTGCTTAGAGGTGTTGTGTGTTAAAACTAATTTTCAGATTGTCTTATGATTGCTTTTTCAAATTATAAAAGTTCAAGTGCTACAATGTTTGAAGACAAAATGAGGGTGTATCTTACTTTTTAATAAACTTTTTTGTCTTTTTTCTTCTTAGAGATTTACATGTCACTATTTGACACATGCTGTGTAGTATAATAGGTGTAAATTATTTTAAAAAGGGGGGAAAAGAATAAAAAGGATGAAACCTTTTTTAAATGAAACCTTTTTTAGATGAAACTAATAAAAATATGTTAATCTGCTATAATATTCAAAATTGTTTTAAAAATCATAGCATTCAATGAAATGAAATCTACCTCTTAGGACTAGCATATTTCAGTTCTTTAAAAGGTGCACTGAATTTAGAAGACTCTTAAGTGAAATGTCCATTAGTTGAGAAGTTTTTTACATAAATAATCTACTTAAAAAGCATATTAAATGAAAAGTTTTAGTAACTTTGATCAGAGCTTTTATTTTATAGACTAATATAATTATGACTTATGGTTTCTCAGGTTATATAGCATTTTTGTTTGTTTGTTTTGAAGAGATGGTCTTGCATTTTTGCCCAGCTAGAGTTCAGTTGCATGATCATAACTCATCGTAACCCCAAACTCCTAGGATCAAGCTGTCCTCACCTTAGCCTCCCAAAGGGCTAGAATTACGGGCATGAGCCACTCTACCCTGTCCATTCTTTGTTAATGATGAAACACACTTCTGATGTCTCTTCATTAATAAAATAGGTTTAGATATCTTATAAATATATAGAAAATTATTCTCTATGAGAAATTTTCTAAATCACTTTCAGATAAGCTCTTAAATATGTTTCATTTATTGAAATCTTGAGGTTAAGAAAAAATAGGGGCTGGGCGCGGTACCTCATGCCTGTAATCCTAGATTGCTCGAGGTCAGGAGTTCAAAACCAGCCTGAGCAAGAGCTAGACCCCATCTCTACTATAAATAGAAAGAAATTAATTGGCCAATTAATATATATAGAAAAAACTAGCTGGGCATGGTGGTGCATGCCTGTAGCCCCAGCTACTCGGGAGGCAGAGGCAGCAGGATTGCTTGAGCCCAGGAGTTTGAGGTTGCTGTGAGCTAGGCTGATGCCATGGTACTTACTCTAGCCTGGGCAACAAAGTGAGACTCTGTCTCAAAAAAAAAAAAAAATTAGGAAATTTATTTTGGCAACAAGGGTATGTTTTCCTCAGATAAAGAAATATTTGTGTACTCTCCAGTGTTACAAAAATACTTTTTATTCCTTATTACCAGCAATTTTCTAAGCCTGAAAATAGCATACATCTAGATTTTATGAAAATTATACCTTCAGTACAGTTTTTATCATGGCTTTACAAATTTTCTTCTGTTATATCACACCATATATTAAAAGAGATCAATTATATACAAATTCTAGTTTTACTTGTTGTATTTATGTGACATTGTTAGGATAAGTTATTTATTCTTTTAAGCCTACTTCTTCATTTCTAAAATAATGTCAATAGGACATAAGCTATAGGATATCCTGATAATTAAATGAGAAAATTCATGAAGCAGTCAAGAGTATTTCAGGGAAATAATCGATATGCCACA